AACAGCCTCTGGCTCAGCCCCTGGGAGAGGCTCTGCCTAGGCTGGTCTTGCCATGTGTGAACAGAGGGTCTATTTTAGCCCAGGCAGGTCTGGGAGGGGCCCTAGAACATGTGAAGGTTGAGATACATTTATGTCTAGGATGGCCTGCAGGATCTACTCTCTCTGTGGGTAGTCACAGTCATGTGATGAACAAGTAAGATGATAATAATAGCTAAAGATTTTAGAGGACTTCACTGTTTGCAAAATGGTCTTACATATGATGTATGATTGAAATATATGGTGAATGTTTAAATTAAAAATATATTACAGTAAAAGACACATTGCCGTAATCCCCTTCAAAATACTCCCCATGTCTTAAGCACATTTATCCCATTGCTTTCTGAGGCAGTTCTGGAAGTCTTTTATATATTTATCAGGTGTGGTAGAAAATATGATGAGTGCTGCTGCCAAGTACCATTTAACTGAAAGGTAGACTGTCGTGGTAAAGACACGGCAATATCTTCACCCACCTTACTAACCACATCTGGGACTATATGACTTCTAGCTCTTCCTCCAAGTCAAAATGGCCATGAAAGGTGAAGGTTCTGAGTTAATTCAGGACATCAAAGCAGCCCGGACAGCACAACTAACGACACTGGTGAAAGAAGACTTCCAGAACTCCCACAGAAAGTCAAAAGCACAATGGGATGAGTGTGTTCAAATTGCAGATCAATGGCAGTGCTGCTTCCACGTAACAAGATTTTTCAATTTAGGCATTCACTCTGTTTTTCGATCGTACCCGTATGCACGTGCAGATCTTTTATGCTCAGGGTAAGTAGCAAACCTGCTTCTATGAGCAGCCAACAGGTGAGGAATGACAGCCCGTTGTGCCCAGGGTCTCAGGGTCTCTCTGCAGAATCAGGCCTCCTTCCGTCTTCTGATTCCCAAACATAACACTTGTGCTTATTAATGAGCCAGATGTTTCCTCTTCATACTGTCTCAAGCTTCAAAAAGATGTGAGAGCCCTTGTTTTTCATCCTCTACATGTCTGTGCATCTTTGCAACCATTTATCCTTGCCATTTTTCTCTGAAGTAACTAGGAGGAAGAAGCCTCCATATCTAAAGCCAACCAGTTGGCTCCCCGCTTCCCCAGGTCTTGTTTTCTCTTGTCTCCCACCTCCTCCCTCCGTTTGTCTACGAGCATGTTGAGCCATGTCCTGTGCAGACAAGCAAAGCTGTTCTGTGCTGTCACTACCCTGAGACTTTTTCTTGTCTCTCTTCTCTTGCTTTTCAAAAAGCCTCCAGCAAGTGCCCTGCTTCACCCGGCACTCAGCTCTGGATTAGCCATGGCAGCAGGCAAAGGTGCCATCCCGAGTCAAGCCTTGGTTGGTCCTGGTATGGAATGAATTGTGCCACCCAAAGTTCATTAAACCCTAACCCTTTTACTTCAGAGTGTGATTATATCCAGAGTCACAGATAGGATCTCTGAAGAGGTATTTAAGATAAAATGAAGCCACAGAGTGGGTCCCAATCCAGCATGGCGATGTCATTTGAAGAGGGGATGGGTTTAACAGAGGGCAGACTGTAGGGGGACAGAGGGAGAAGGCAGCCATCTGCAAGCCATGGCGATGCCTCAGGAGAAACCCAGCCCTGCCTGCATCTTGACCATGGAGCCTCCTAAGTGAGATAACGTACTTCTGTTATTTAAGCTGCACTCTGTGTTATGGCAGCCGTGGCAGCTCTAATCAGCTCTGTCGCCATTTTCAACGCTTCTGCTGTCTTCCTTCCAACAATAAGGTCCATCCACAAGCCCAGGGGAAGAATGATTTTCCTGAATCACCACACTGAGGATGACCCTCCTCTTCTCAAAAAAACCCAATGGCCCCCTTCTTACTTGCAAAATGAATTTGAAAGGCCTCATCCTGACATGTAAAACTCCCGTAGTTTTGTCAATGTTTCCCTTTCCAGCTCCAGTTCCCTTAACTCCCTACCTGAAGTTTCTGCTTCTTCCTTATTCTGCTCTTCCTTTCCTGTGCACATCCCGTCCCATCCCTGTAACCCCGCAGCACCCCTGTTTATGGAAGCCCTGCTCACCCTTTAAGACCAAGGCCGGATGGCGCCCACAAAGTCTTGCCTTAATTCTCTTTCCTTCTAAATTGTAGAGAAAATAGTATTATTCTACTCATGGGACACATAGCCACCATGCCTAACTTTTTCAGTCATGGATAGAAATCAACCCCTCAGCTGGCCTCTACTCACCTGAAAGACAAGGAACAACATTTTATGCAATTTTTTGTATTCTCTATACTGTTGCCAGACTGTTTTATACATAGCAGATCGGTAACTATTAGTCACTAATTAATGAAATCCAAGTACAGGTTAAAACAAGTACCCATTTTTCCTTATCCCAAAGTTATAAAAATGATAGGGGATATAAAAATGTAGGTCTAGGGCCAGGGATTTAGCTCAGTGGTTCTGCTGCCTGCCTCACGAGTGCAAGGACCCGAGTTTGATCCCTGGTACCAAAAAAAAAAAAAAAAAAAAAAAAAAAAAAA